TTTTCCTGGATTGCCCACTTTCAGCATTGTCTTTACCTGTCTTCATTACTAGACTTATATTCCACACTGAGAACAATTATGTCATCAAGTTACTTCTAATACTTCTTAGTGCATAGCCTTGTTAAGAGTAAGCACTGAAATAATGAGTGTTGGAAAGAAAAATTAGGAATGAGGTTACAGATTCACAGGACCTTAAATTCCTGTTAATTACAGTAATTCCGAGGCTGTAAAATGAAATTACAACTTAATTAAATAAACGGTATAAATGCACAGGTTAGTAGGTAAAAGTGAATCTTTAAAACTCCCCAAAATAATATGAACTAATAGATGATTTATCAGTCTCTTTGCTTACAATCTCGCAGCTTTCTTAGTACCTGCTCAACACAGCTGCAAGTGTGGATGTAGAGAAAATAAAGTCATGGAGTGGTTTAAATTATGGAGGTTCAAACCTTACTCTCACCTCAGAACATCAGTGAGCCTTGTGTTTCTCATCTCTAAAGTTGTGATAGTATTTTTTACCTTATATGAGGATTAGAGAATTATACCTGGCACAAGTAGCATGTACAGCAGTACCTGCTATATAAAACCCTTCTTAATGGTGGTATTGTATTCAGATCTTTATATATTTTTAGTGACTTACTTTTGTCCACACAACAGATAGATGACATTCATTACTTTTGTCCAACACAGATAGATGACATTCATGATTCCTATGATGAATTTCTTTGCCCCAGTCTCCAGTTGCACCACATTTATTTTATTTGGCAATATCCACACAATTTGCCCAACTCCTCCTCCTACATGCTTAGAACCTTCTGAACTTTGTGCTTTTGATTACTCTAGTTTATTATTCTCTACCTGATAAAATTTCTTTACCATAGGAGACCATATTGAGCAGTGTTTAAAAGCATGGACTCTGGATCCATTGTCCTGGGGTTCAAATCATAGTTGCCTCACAGCCTATGTCTGTGACGTTGGGTGACTTACAATCTTCAAGCCTTAGTGTCACTTCAGGTGCAATGGGATTGGGGAAATGCTAGTCTCCTAGTGTTGTAAAGATGAATGAATTCATCTCTGTAAAGGTATAAAATACTGACAACACTGCCTGGCATGAGGTAAGGAAGGCATGGAATATTAATCATTCATCAACATCTTTTGCAAAACTTCTCCATAAATGCTTTCCTTAGTATTCTGCTAAAAGTTCTCTTGTATCTTTATTATAGAACTTAAAATGTTATGTTTTATATTATAGTAAGTGGCTTGAATGCTGCTACCACATAAAATTGTGAGTATAGGAGGGCAGAAGCTATGATGTCCTCTTCTTTGTCTCTTTTATTCGGGAACTTATAAAAATGTTTTCCCAAGTACCATACATGTGTTAAATATGAATGAATAAGAATGTATAAGTCTAATTATTGTTTACTTGTTTGTTTTCTTTCTGTCTTTTTGAGTGACAGCAAGAGCATTTACTTTTTTTTTCTTAAATTCTTTTATTGGTACAGTTTAGGTATACAACACAGTTACATTTCTTATTGGGAACTTGTACCATTACGTGATGCATCTTGGTTCTTATTTTTTCCCCATTCCTAGCCCTCCCTTCA